CATGGAAAGGCTTTTGTTGTCACCTATTACTTTTGTAACAAGAAGGGACATGTAAAGAAGGATTGTGAGAAACGAAAGGCTTGGTTCGAAAAGAAAGGTATTCATCTTTCTTTTGTATGTTATGAATCAAATCTTATTGAAGTTCCTTCTTACACTTGGTGGCTTGATTCTGGTGCTACAACTCATATCACAAATTCATTACAGGGATTCCTTACAACTCGGAAACCGGAGGAAAGTGAAAAGTACATCTATATGGGGAACCGTCTCAAATCTAAAGTGGCGTTCGTTGGCACTTATCGCCTCATATTAGAGACGGGTCACAAGATGGATCTTGAAAACACTTTTTATGTACCTTCGTTTTCTAGGAATTTGGTTTCTTTGTCAAAACTGGATGTTTGTGGTTATTCAGCTTTAATTGGTTGTGGAAAACTCCATTTTATGTTTAATTCAATAATAATTGGTTCCGGTATTTTATGTGATAGTTTATATAAAATATCTTTGAATCATGAGTTTGAACAATCATTATTAACCACTCATTCGGAAGTTGGCGTAAAGCGAAGCCTAAATAACGAAAATTCTTCTATCTTGTGGCATAAACGATTGGGGCATATCTCCAAGGAAAGAATCGAAAGATTGGTTAAAACTGGAATTTTGGAAAATCTAGACTTTACTGATTTTCAAATGTGTGTTGATTGCATTAAGGGTAAGCAAACCAAACACAATAAAAGGGGTGCCACAAGAAGTAAAGAGCTTCTTGAGTTAATCCATACAGATATCTGCTCGCTACCTATTCCATGTTTTAGTGGAGAAAAGTATTTTATCACCTTTATTGATGATCTATCTCGTTATGGTTATCTCTATCTAATTCATGAAAAATCTCAAGCCGTTGACATGCTTGAGGTGTTTGTTACGGAAGTCGAAAGACAATTAGATAGAAAAATTAAAGTTATACGATCAGATCGGGGTGGGGAATACTATGGTAGATATGATGAGTCGGGACAAAATCCTGGCCCATTTGCTAAATTCTTAGAAAAGCGTGGTATTTGTGCTCAATACACAATGCCTGGAACACCACAACAGAATGGAGTTGCTGAACGTCGTAATCGTACTCTCATGGATATGGTTAGGAGTATGTTAAGTAATTCAACTGTACCCATTTCACTTTGGAATGAAGCCTTGAAAACCGCTATGTATATCTTAAATCGGGTTCCCAGTAAGGCAGTCCCAACAACTCCCTACGAGTTGTGGACTGGTAGGTAACCTAGTTTAAGACATTTACATGTTTGGGGTTGTCCTGCAGAGGCTAGAATATACAATCCAAATGAAAAGAAATTGGACCCTAGAACAATTTCTGGATATTTTATTGGTTATCCACTAAAGTCAAAAGGGTACAGATTTTATTGTCCTAACCATACTACGAGGATAGTTGAAACTGGAAACGCCAAATTCTTAGAGAATGGTGAAGTTAGTGCGAGTGTTGAATCAAGAAAGGTAGAACTTGAGGAAATTGGGGTGGATATTTTACCATCTTATTTCCCTCAAGATAAAGTTACTCTTCAACCTATACAGCAGGTTGAAACAAATGATTCACCACTCCATTCACCACTTCATGAAGATGTTATTATTGGCAATACTGTAGAACCACAACAACCGGTAGCTTTGAGGAAATCTCAAAGGGAAAGAAAATCTGCCATATCCGATGATTATGTTGTGTATCTACAAGAATCTGATTTTGATATTGGTATTCAAAATGATCCAGTTTCATATTCACAAGCCATGAAAAGTAAAGATTCTAGTAAATGGATTGATGCTATGAATGAAGAGTTGAAATCAATGGACTATAATGGTGTCTGAGATCTTGTCGAATTGCCTAATAACAGTAAGAAAGTCGGTTGTAGATGGGTCTTCAAGACCAAACGTGACTCTAAAGGCAATATCGAAAGATTTAAAGCTAGACTAGTAGCCAAAGGTTTCACTCAAAAGGAAGGCATTGATTATAGAGAAACTTTCTCTCCAGTATCTAAGAAAGACTCTCTTAGAATCGTTATGGCTCTTGTAGCTCATTATGATTTGGAGTTGCACCAAATGGACGTGAAAACCGCTTTTCTGAATGGGGATTTAGATGAAGATATCTATATGGACCAGCCTGAAGGATTTGCAAAACAAGGAAAGGAACACTTGGCTTGTAAATTAAAGAAATCCATATATGGACTTAAACAAGCTTCTAGACAATGGTATACAAAATTCAATGATACCATTACTTCCTTTGGATTTAAGGAAAACACTGTTGATCAGTGTATATATCTAAAGGTCAGTGGGAGCAAGTTTATCTTTTTAGTCTTGTATGTGGATGATATTTTACTAGCAAGTAGTGATCTTGGTTTGCTTCACGAAACTAAGAATTATCTTTCCAAGAATTTAAAGATGGTTGATATGGGTGAGGCAAATTATGTCATTGGGATAGAGATCTTTAGAGATCGATCTCGAGGATTGTTAGGCTTGTCTCAGAAAGGATATATCAATCGAGTTCTTGAAAGATTTAATATGCAGTTTTGTTCAGCCATTAATGCTCCTATCACGAAAGGTAATAAATTAAATGAAAATCAATGTCCAAAGAATGATTTGGAAAAGGAGAAAATGAAATTGATTCCATATGCATCAGCAGTTGGAAGTCTGATGTATGCACAGACTTGTACTGGACCAGATATTAGTTATGCAGTGGGAGTACTTGGTAGATATCAAAGTAATCCGGGAATAGATCATTGGAAAGCAGCAAAGAAGGTTATGAGGTATCTTCAAGGAACAAAGGATTACATGCTTACTTATAGGAGATCGGACCAATTAGAGGTTATTGGTTATTCAGACTCCGATTTTGTTGGTTGTGTAGATAGTAGAAAGTCCACATCGGGCTTTGTATTTCTACTAGCTGGTGGAGCAATCTCTTGGAAGAGCGTAAAGCAAAGTATTATTGCTTCTTCCACAATGGAGGCTGAGTTTGTAGCATGTTTTGAGGCCTCGAGTCATGCACTATGGTTGCGAAATTTTATCTTAGGGCTTAAGGCTGTTGACTCAATTGCTAAAGCCTTTGAAGATATATTGTGATAACATCGCAGCCGTTTTCTTCTCTAAGAATGGAAAGTATTCAAGTGGATCCAAACATGGATCTTAAGTACTTGGTTGTTAAAGAAAGAGTCCAGAAACAACAAGTGTCAATAGAAAATTTAAGTACAACTCTTATGGTTGCTGATCCATTAACCAAGGGATTGCCTATAAAGACATATGAGGAACATGTTATTAGAATGGGTCTTTTGAGCAATCCATGATTTGATGAGTTATGATTATATAATTGACACTTAATTTATTTAATCAAATGTTTCTGTTTTTCCTGTTCCCTATTATGTGTGCACATATTATATTGGGATTTAACAGGATTTGTCCTAACAAGACAAAATTAAAGGGGCTATTATGGATTATAATAGTAAGGGTTATTAGTGGCGTGATACATAGAAGGGAATATGATGAATGAATCATATAACCGCTATGATTCACATTAATAACTCAAACTAGTTCTAGTATTAAAGTACTCTATTTACCTATTATGGTAATCACCTTAATTTTCTTTTAAAATCGTGATCACGTGTCAAATGTTTTGTATGAAGAACCCACCGAGTCAAATAATTTTTTAAACTTGTTTTTCTTAAACGGTTCAATGGGCCAAGTGGGAGAATGTAAGTTTTATTTTTATTTAATGGCCCATTAACCTTTGAATTTAAATTTATTAATTGTGGGTAATTCAATTATGGTATTAAGGTGATTTTATGGTAATTGATTTGAAACGTTGATGGCAATAAAAGACCATGATGGGTGGGATTTGTCTTCTGCCGTTACAAATCAATTGTGGCCCTCTTCTCTCGTCTATAAAAGAATCCACAACTCTTCTCCTCAACCATCAGACGCAATTTGAGAATTCCATCAATTACAGAAATATTTAGTGAGTTGTGATATTAGAGAGATAGAGAGAAGAAGGTGTGCTACGAATAAAGTTCTCAAGGAGATTCGAAGGAGGCCTGGCTAGGCTCGGCTTGTAGATTGCTATCGTTCATCGTCTCTATCGAAATCTATGGCGAACGGTATGTCAATAATCTCTATTTTGTGCTTATGTTCTTAAGATGAATTTGATTTCAAGATTCTGTGATTAAGGTATTCCGCATAAAATTAGATAAAAGTCTTTCAACAAGAGTCTTGCATAAAATCCCCTAAATAGTTAACAGTGTTAATTTAAAAAAATATATGGAAATTTCATGCAAGGTAAATTGAAACACAGGGGTTTTACGCAATAAAACAGACACGGGGTTTTGTGCAGGTTTTGGTTAACACAGGTGTTTTACGCAATAAAACGTAACACGGGGGGTTTTGTGCATGTTTTGGTTAACACAGGGGATTTTATGCTGTTTACGCTTCATTTGCATTTTGAATTTACTTATTTCAAACACCATGATCCAATCAGAGCCTTGGCGGTTTAGGGACAAATATATATATTATTTTCCCGAAAGAATGGCATATTCGTTTTAGATTATTTTTGCTTGATATATATATTATTGCTTTTGAACTGTTACAGGAGACTAGTGATCTATCCTAATGGAGACAACAATAATGGAAAAGAGGGCGACTACATTTCTGTAAAGCTGGCTATGGTGGACACAAGTTCGATGCCTAAAAACTGGGAAGTCAATGCCATCGTCAACATCTTTCTTTATAATCATATTTCGGGCAATTATATCTATTCACCAGGTATTATAACTAATGTTTTCTATTGACCGTTTTAATCGTAAAAATTAGTATATTAATATGATCAAGTAATTCAAATTGTATGTGATGAGAAAGTACTTATTTCAAATGGAACAGGACGAGCAAGACCTTTCCAAATAACACAGTCCGAATGGGGATTTTCAAAATTTATCTCTAAGAAGAGTATGTTCGATCCATCAAATGGATACCTAATGAACGACAGCTGTGTGTTTGGTGCTGAGGTTTTCGTGGTCAAAAGAGAAGCAGTCACTGAATGTTTGTCTCTGAATAGTGTTCACCCTCCTCCTTCGTACAAACATGATTGCAAAATTTCAAACTTCAAAAAATTGGAAGGCAGGTGGGAATCTGAAGAATTCTCTGCCGGAGGCCACAAATGGTATACAATATATATACATATGTGTGTGTGTGTGTGTGTGTGTGTGTGTGTGTGTATTTATGTTTTTTTGTTTTGATTTTTTGTTGATAAATTTAGGTATGTGTGTGTCCACCCAAAAGGAAATAAAGAAGCAACTGGTAAGGCTGTCTCTATCTACTTGCATTATCTTGGTTCCAATGTCTCTACACATTTTGGAAGAGTGAAAACATCTTTTACCATAAGCGTAATAAATCATGGTTACTGTGCACACAAGAAACGAACTAGTAAGTCGTTTAATGGAAACTTTATTCTTGTTCGATTTTAAATCCTTGAATTGAATGAAAAAAGAACAAGTAAAATTAAATTCGTGTGTATACATTATTTTTCTTGCAGCAACTTGTTCGTTTTCGGCTTCCTGGGCTAGTTTGGGATGGGATTCGTTCATTGATCTTGCTACTATTAATGATCCTAAACAAGGGTTCTTAGTGAGAGATTGTATTCGTGTAAGTGTCGAGATCTCCTTCCTAAACAGCGCACTAACCTTCAACTCATCTTGGATTTAGTTTGAGTTCGTATCGAATTTGTTTTTGCTCGGTTGGAACTATTGCAACTTTTAGTTTATTCATATTCAACAGTTTTGTTCTTCAGTATGTTTGTTTATTGAAGTGATCTAGATATTTTTAATTAAAATATTTTGCAGTTTGCATGCAGTAATAAGGTTTATATTAGCTCATATCTAGAAAAGAACTGGATATTACTCTTTGGTAGCTTAGATAACAAAGACTATTTATAAAGTCAATAAAAAAAAACAATTTCATTCATGGTTCTCTGAAACGGCCGGAACGGAATGGGAACGGTGCCCTCCGTTCCAGGATCCATAACCAGAACGGTTTTTTCACCGTGACTTACAGGAACACTGAGAAAATGGTGGGATGGGCGAGACGGATCCACAAAACGGGCGTCGGAAAAGGAGAAAATAATTATAAGAAAAAAAAAACAGTTTGACTAAAAAAAATAAGAAAAAAAAACATAAAAGAAAAAAAAATAATAAGATGATGGTGGCCACATTGGAGAATGAAGATTCCCCTGAATCATGGAAGTTTGGCCTCACTCTTCAATTATAGCTTACACAATTCCAACTCGGCTTGGTATTAATATTGCTTGTCTTTTTCATAATGTTTTTCGGAGATTGTTGCAATATTTATTTTTGAAATTTGTAACAATATTTTGTATATTATTGTATTGTAATGTTGTTATTAAAAACATTTTTTTTCTGGGTCCATTAAAAACATATTTGAAATATATTGTATTTTTTTAGCAATTTAACTAAAATGTGTTCGTTCCCGTCGTGACGCAACCGCAACGTTGCAACGGAACTGGAATAGCAGTGTCCGCGACACTGCACTGCTTTGTTCCGACGAACCATGATTTCATTCCTATTTGATGAAAGAAAGCAAAGAAAACATAAAATAATTGCAATCAATAGTTGTAATGAACTGTTGGATAATTGGATTGGATCCTATTCGTTTTAAATATAAAATGCATCTAATATAAATGGGATTTTTTTTACAGTTAATGAAGTAATCAATGGAAAAAAAAATATTATATAATAATGTATATAATAATTAATAAATGGTCATTATTTTTGGAAAACTTCAAAAGTATTATCAAAAATTTCGAAATTATTTTCGGATCGGAATTCAGAATTTCTGAATAGTTTATATACAATTCTGATTGCTATTTGGTTTTTTTCGGAAAATTCGTAAATCAGACTACAAAATATCGTTCCAAAACCGGAAAAAATCGGATTGGAGTTGGCCGAAGTCAAAATTTTCATTTTGATTTCAACCTCTTGTGCAATGCACATGTTTTGAGTTTCGACCGAGATGGCCGAAAATAGACCTTTTTCTCGAAAGAATGACATACAGGTTTTAGCTTATTTTTGCTTGATATACTTTTGAGTTGTTACTGGAGACTAGTAATTTATCCTAATGGAGATAACAATAATGGAAAAGAGTGCGACCATATTTCCGTAAACTTGGCTATGGTGGACAGAAGTTCAATGCCTAGAGGTCAATGCTATCTTCAACATCCTTCTCTATGATTGGATTTCCGGCGATGATGTTTCTTCACTAGGTATTATTACACAAATTGCGAATGAGTAATTCAAACTGTATAAGAGTAAAAGTACTTAATATGGAAGAGGATGTTTCCGAAGAACACAATCGGAATGGGGACTTTCAAAATTTATCTCTAAGAAGAATATGTTTGATGCATCAAACGGGTATGTAGTGAACGATAACTGTGTTTTTCGTGCTGAGATTTTTGTGGTGAAAAGAGAAGCAGTCACTTGAACATTTGCCGTTGAAGAATGTTGACCCTCCTTACAAATACAATTGCAAGATTTCAAACTTCAAAAAATTGGAATGCATGTCAACAATCTGAAGAATTCTCTGCCGGAGACCACAAATAATGGTGCATATTTTTTTTTTTTTTTTTTTAATTTAATTATCACAACTGTCTGTCTGCGAATTGTATTTTTATCCGGGAAAAATACAAATTTCATCCTTCAAGTTTGCACCGGTTTCACATTTGGTCCCTCATGTTCTTAAAAAACATATTTGGTCCCTTATATTTAAAAAAAAAAATCAACAACTTTAGTCATTACCGTCAATTTTCCGTTATTAATAACGGAGTCAAGCATGTGTGCAAATTTGCCTAACTGGCAGACTAACAGTAAATTGACGAAAATGACCAAAAGTGTTTAGTAATTTAAATATGAGGGACCAAATGTGTTTTTCGTGAACATGGGGAACCAATTATGAAATCAGTGCAAACTGAGGGATGAAAACTATAAATTTCCCCTTACATTATCTTCCTATAAAAATCCAATATTGATACTAATCAATACTTTCTTACTCTATGAGTCAAAAGACTTTGAACATGACCTTTCTTTAAGAATCTAATATTTATATTAATCAATACTTTTTTAACTCTAGGAATCAAAAGGTTTTGAAGTTCAAAATATGATCTTCCGTTAAAAATCTAATATTGATATTAACACTTTCTTAATTCTAGGAATCAAAAGATTTTGAAGTCCAAACCATGATTTTTCTTTAAGAATCTAATATTGATATTAATCAATATTTTATGAACTCTAGGATTCAATATGGACTATTATTATTTTCTCACAACATTCCTCACAACATATATTTTGTTGAACTTATCTTCTAATAAATGTGTTTTCCGATAGCATATATGCTAACTAACTCCAGATCTGAATTTTATGGCGATTGTATTTTTGAAAGCTCTGCAAATTACCTACGGAATTTGAATCTCAAAGCTCTGCAAATCTTTCCATGCCGGCTCCCAAATTAAACGACGATGTTTGAGAGTTTCGTGTTCTGGTCAGAGGTGAGCCCGACGATGCTGTTTCAGAGATAGAAATCGAGATTGATGTTTTGAAGATGATTGGGAAGATGTTGGAGCGACATTTTTTATTCAATTTGGGAAGATGGCTTTTTTGGAAATGTTAAGGATTTAACTGAAAATTTATAACATTTGTTTTAGGGCTTATAAAATTTGGGCGTGAATATATGATTTTTGAAATATATGTTGAAGGGTATTTTGGTGTTTTCGGGTAAAAAAAAAAAACACAGTCAGTCGCACAATCCGCTCATGCAGCACACTGCACACGATAAGCTGTCAGTACGCGATAATTGGCTTTGACTAATTTTATAAGAGGGTTCCTGCTAATTCTTTTAAGCCAGGGTTTTTTTCGGCAATTCAAGATTATACAGGGGTGATTTTTGCAAAAAAAAAAACCCTAGTAAACCCAATAAACTAGGAATCTTATATATAAAAGGAAGATCTTTTGACTTATAACCCTAGATGTAGCCCTAGGGGTAATATTGTCATTTTATATTTTCGACAAATTTTCTTTTCTTTTCTAAATTAACTTCCTTCGTTTTACCTCCTACGCACTCAATAACTCTACCAGAAAATAATGATTAAGATTGTTGTTAGTGGGAAGTTATTATTTGTGATAGATATGGTGGAATAAGGGATTGTTGTTTGTGGGAAGTTTTTCTTTGGTTCATTAGTGTTTTTTTTTTCCGTTCAATAAATTAGAATGCATACTTCATTAACATTGTTACGGGACTATGTATGTCGAACATCATGAATATATTCGCTCATTGAACTACATAAAATCGTGCAGAATAAGTTTGGAAAATAGTAAGTCAGAAAGACAAAAGTTGATTAGAAAATGGAATTGAAGATTGCATAAGAACAATGCTCTTATCATGTTCAAGACTTTCGTAAGCTTTACCGTTCATTTCTTTTGACTCCTACTTCTAATATATGTTAGATTAGCGATGGGTTTTGTGACGGTTTACGAGAGATGAATAGAATATTGTAAGATCATCGTCGCTTTCGTATCCATCATATTTTTATTTTATAATTTTTTTTATGAGACCGAAGAAAAGAGTGATGAATTAAGAGGTGTGCCTTGGCATCATTATATTGTATTTTTACAAGTTACTATCTTCAATGTTTAAGTATCCAAAGCTTAGATACAATTATTTACTATTAAGCTAAATGATTTCCAAGCAGGCTATGAGGATTCTATGTTGATATTTGCTCACGAAATTGAAGTCAACGAATATATAATGAATGTTTAAAATCTATCGAGCCTAGGGGTGCAAGTGGGAACGGATCGGAAATTCTAATTTCTGCCGATTCCGATCCGAAAAAGTTCCGATTTAGGAAAAAAAAAAAAATTCCGACTTCCGAAATTCCGATTTCCGAAGATTTCCGATTTTTTTGGATTGGAATTGGGATTTCCGATTTCCGATCCGATTTATTTTCCAAAAGTTATTCCGAAAAAATCCGATATTTTTCTGAAAAACACACCTATAACTAATATATAATATATAATACTTATTTTAAGTTTTTTTTGGTTTTCTGAAACAGTGATTTGATTTAAGTTTTGGTTTAGGATTTTGACATATTGCATTGTTGTTAGAAGTTTTATTAGATATTATGATCTGGTTTATTTTAAAAAAAAAATTAACTGAAATTTAGTAGTTATTAGTTTTTCTTTTAACGACGTGGATGTTCTTATTTTTTGAAAATTAATTATGAAATTTTCAAAAATAATCACTAAGGTTTAAAATTTCAATAAGTGATTTCCGATTTTTTTCCGAAATTCCAAAATTTTTAGACCTTTTGGTATTGGAATGAATATTTATAAAATTCCAAAAAAAATTAGAATTGTAATTGGAATTGATTTTGTACTTCCGAATCTTTTTGGAAATTTTCCGAAAAGGCTAATTCCAATCCGATCCATCCAACTTTCACCCTTAATCGAGCCACCTATTGAGCCACCCTGAAGAATTTAGGTGTCTTCAAGTATGATGATTGACGAACAAATTATTTTTACAATTTTACTTATAACTTTTAATCGAACAGTTATTTTGGATATTTTTTTAACTAGACTATTTTTATTTTTTAGTGAATGTTTAAGATAAGTTAATTTTGAAATTCAATGGTAATGCAATATTTTTTTTCCATGGATTATAAATATAGAGTTATTTAATATTGTAAATAAATAAATTAAGTTCATAACAATTATTAGATATATGCCAATTGTTTACATATATTTTTGTAAATTTAATTTTTTACATGTCTTATCGAGTGTTTATTTTTTCTTAACTAAATGTTTAATTTTGTACCCAGTTAATTGTTTCTTCTGTTTTAATATACTGCACGTGCAACGCATAAGAAAAAAAAAAAAGAAAAAACCCATAAACTAGGAAATGCGATGTGTGAGAAGTTGTAGAGAATATATACACAAACAGTTTGTGGCCGTCAACAAACTGTTTTATAACATCAAAAAACCCTAGCTCTCCGCATACACAAGAACTGATATATGTAAAAAAAAAAAAAAAAAGAAAAACTCGATTCATCCGATAATGTCTGCCACACCAGCAGCAGATGGTATGAAACAATAATTCTAACAAAATAAATCAGTTTCCCTTTGTTTTTTTCCCAATGTTATATATGTATTTGTGTGAAATAATTTTTGAATCTATTGTTGGTTTCAGAAACGATCAACATGGACATAAGAGATGCTTCGCCTGCACATTTTTTGATCAAGATTGAATCTTTCTCCTTGCTTGACAAGTGTCGAGTTGATAAATACGAAACTAAGGAATTTGTCGCCGGAGATTACAAGTGGTATGTTAATGTGTGAGAGACTTTTATATATTTTTTTGTATTAGAACAAAAAAGAACAAAAAAAGAAATAGCAATCAATATCGAAATTATTGTGAAGTTTGTTGGCGTATTTTTGCTTGATATACTTTTGAGTTGTTATAGGAGACTAGTAATCTATCCGAACGGAGATAACAATAACGGAAAAGAGTGCGACTATATTTCCGTAAAGTTGGCTATGGTGTACACAAGTTCAATGCCTAAAAATTGGGAGGTCAATGCTAACTTCAGCATCCTTCTCTATAATTGGATTTCCGGCGATTATGTTTATTCACTAGGTATTATTAATCGTATGTGTTAGTTTATTAAAGTTGCGAATGAGCAATTCAATTTGTGTTCGAGTATTAAGTAGTTAATTGCAAATTCCAAATAATATGAACAGGACGAACAAGACGTTTCCAACGAACCCAATCTGAATGGGGATTTTCAAGATTTATCTCTAAGAAGAATATGTTTGATCCATCAAAGGGGTACCTATTGAACGACAGCTGTGTTTTTGGTGCGGACGTTTTTGTGGTCAAAAGAGAAGCAGTCACTGAATGTTTGTCGTTGAAGAGTGTCGAAATAGTTCCTTACACGCACGATTTCCAGATTTCAAACTTCCAAAAAATAGAAGGGGTTTGGGAATCTGAAAAGTTCAGTGCTGGAGGCTACAAATGGTACAATTTTATTTTCTTATATTATTACAACTATTTTTTTTTTTTAATTTTGTAACCACATTTTATTCGTGTTTTAATTTGTTGTTGATGAATTTTAGGAATATTCGTATTTTCCCAAAAGGAAGTGCGGAAGCAACTGGCAGAGCTATGTCTATCTTCTTGCACTATGATTGTTCCGATTTCACTACTCATTCTGCATTAGTGAACGCAACTTATACCGTATTCATCAAAAACCAGCTTTATGGCACACACATAAAACGAACTCGTAAGTCGTTTTTGCCTTATAGTATTTACCATATCCTTTTTTGTTTTTGTAATTTTTTCATAAACTATATTTGATTAATAGACAACGTTACCAAAAATAAAAACAATCGGGATTTGTTTACAAACTGCACTACTCCTATCTTTGCAGTTACGTATTCGTATATATACTGAAGAGGGTGATATAAATTTTCATTTTTCTTGCAGTTACGTATTCGTTTTCAGCTTCCAAACTTCAATGGGGATGGCCTTTATTCGTTGAGCTTGCTACGATTGATGATCCTAAAAAAGGGTTCATAGTAAGAGATTGTATGTATCTAAATATAGAGCTCTCTGTTCTAAACAACGGATTGACCTTCAGCTCGACGTGGATTTAATTTAGCGTGCTTCGAAAGAATTTTGTCTCGGTTCCAACTAGTGCCACTCTTAGTTTATTCATACCTGGTAATTTTATTTTGATGTACTATTTAGTTTATTGACATCTAGATGTTCATATTTCATTTATCTTTTACAAAAGTCAGTAAATAACAAATTTATGGAAAACTCATGAAAAATCAAAAAATAAAGGACAATGCACTTTGCCCCCCTATAAAATTTTCAGATTCTTAGTTTCCCTCGTAAAAAATTAAAAGAGAGACAAGCCCCTTCTAAAATGTTGTTCTGTTTGTGTTTTGCCCCAAAATCCAATATCCGGTGATTTTAAGGGGCAACGTGCAATAAACAAACTCAATTCCGTGAAATAACCCATAGGAAATTGGCTATCGAGACAACGTGCAACAAAAATATTATTTGGAAGGGGGAACACTCAGTTTTTTGAATATTGAGGGAGGAAAGTGCAAGAATTGGAAATATATAGGGGGTGAATATTTTTATTAGGACAAAATGCAGTTCGCCCCTAAAAATATCAAAAAATCGCAGTTCCCCCTAGAAGAAAATGGTGAACAACCTAGTAAACAGAAAGAGGAAGATAAAGTTCTAAAGTTCTCTAGTCAGATACTCAGAGGAACACAACTCTGACTCACAGTTACATGAATTTTCCCTTTATTGTGTATGTATGAAAAGTCTCGGTTAAAGGGATGGGGTTGAGGCCGAAAAGGCGAAAAAAGGGTTGTTGCGAAAACCACCCCTGTGTAGTCTCGAATTGCTGAAAATGCCCTGTGTTAAAAAAATTAGCAAAGACTCCTTTATGAAAATTAGTCAAAGGCAATAAGGTGGCCCCTGCCAGCCGAACATGTGTAGCACGCACAAAATGTGCGGATGGGTGTTTGTTTTTTACGCGAAAAGACTCAAATACCCTTCAAATTAGAGATTTAAAAAATTATCAATTGACCCCATAATTTTAAAAAGGGCCAAAATTAAGTTATCAAAATTTTCAATTCAATACTCAATATTTTCTAAAAAGAGATCTTCCCAAATCAACCCAAAACCAGATTTCTCTTCTCCACCACACACCTACAACAAATTCAATCAAAGCCAAAAATGAAATGCATTTGCAATTCCATTACAGACTGTATTGTGTGTGTTTGTGTGTCTCAGAGAGAGAGAGAGAGAGAGCTCCTTGAACAAAGAGTAAGACATACCATTAGAGACGTGGAAGGGAGCTAGAGCGAACATAATAGACTTCGCCAGCCTCCTAGCTCCAAATCAATGGCCTCTTCACGGATATAGCACAAACTCCACATTGATGTTATAAATCATATTAAATCGATGGAGGACTATGTTTGCACCTCAGAAACCCACATTAGAAATTCGGGTATTTTTTTTTTCCTATTTTTCCCACAAAAATACAAAAGAGGCCAAATGAAATTGAACAACTAGAAAATTTGTCTCAAAACTAACGAGATCCATCTTCCCGTTGTTATTTGTTCTTGAGGTGGTCGTCTTCAACTCCACTATCGCCGCCAAAGGGAAGATTTTTCAAACTTTTCGTGTTGTATTGTGGGACATTTGTTTTGTTCTAACCAGGGGTAGGTTCGTCATTTCATGTAAGTCAACACCCAATTTTAATGTAAGGCCGCAGTGTGTGCTTTGCAAATTAAAATATAGGGACAACTTTGCTAAATTTTTTTAACATTAGAGTGTTTTTGGCTATTCGAAATTACACAGGGGTTTTCATGCAACTACCTCGAAAAAAAGGAATTAAAAAAAAAATTCATTAAATTTAGGGGTAATATGCCCCACACCCCTAAAACCAAACTTAAATAGTTATGAGTGACAAACTAAAATAGAAAATTTTAACTACATCCCTATTTTAAAATTAAAATTGATACACATCCTTTGATTTTTATTTAACCCAAAAATACCCTTACAATACCTAATAAAAGTCACGTCTTCTTTTTTCCCATTTATTTCTCTCTTTCTCTCTCTTCCCCTCTCTCTCACGCCGCTCAACACGTTCCTTCCCTCTCACTTTATGGTCTCTCTCTCTCTCTCTCTCTCTCTCTCTCTCTCTCTCTCTCTCTCTCACGTCCTCCTCCCCCCTCTTTTTTTCTCTTCAATTATAGTGGAATAATATAGAGGCTTTGACGGTGGTTATGGTGGCGGCGGCTATGGCGGCACTCGATGTAGGGGTTGCATCTTGAGGCTTTGTGACACTGGGTAGAGGATGGCAGGTTCGTTTTTGTTTGCAACCAATACGGATGAGTCGTGAGGTGGGTCTGGCTGTGGGGAAGGGAGAGAGGGGAGCAGTGGCGGTGGTGGTGGTGGTGGCGGCGGATCGGATCTAGGGTTTGGTGAGGAAAATTTAAGATTTTTCGATTTGGATGTCTACAGATGTCTATGAGTGTCTTTGGGTGTCTACGGTGTCTGGCGGCTAGGGTTTCATGGCTAGAGTTTCAAGATGTCTGTGGGTGTCTACGGATTACTACGTTTCCTACGTGTTTCTGTAGATGTCAACGACCCAAAAAAATTTAAAAAAACCATAATTTTCAATGTAGAAAAGAAGGGGAAATTTTTTTTTATATAATGAAAAAATATGAAAAATGAAAAAAGAAAAAGAAAAAACACGTAAAAATGAAAAAAATGCTAGATGCAAATTTAAAAATGTTAAATAATACCATAGTTCATCATAGTATATTTATAATCTGCTATAATTTCGAATTTGTGAGTAGAGGGGTATTTTTGGAATAAATTTCATGAAGGATGTGAAGCAAATTTTAATTAGAGTTGTCATTTAGTTCTAATAAGGTTTGTCACTAAGGACTTATATCTTAAAACCCCTTAAATTTATTTGGATTTGGATACGGCACAGCCATATCACACTGCATATACACAATCTAGTACCTAAAGACTTGGTCTATCTAAATTAACTGAATGCCTATAAATCAGGAAATTAATAACCAAACTTATTTTTCAATTTTTATTTTATATTTTTTTATTTGCACCAAAGTTGTTGGACCGATGTATATATATATAAAAACTTGTACAAGATGAAAATTGTTGACAACCAAACTAGGGCACAACTATTGGAAGAACTGACGATGCCTCCTCCCACGTTAGCATCAGATGGTACGGCCTTTCCTCGCAGTACTAAATAAATTAATCTGTTTTATTTCTTTAATTTCTCGTATTATATATGTATATATAATATAATATATATTAGGGTAAATTACACACACCCCCCTGAGGTAAGCTTAAATAACTGTAAGGTCCCTGTGGTATTGATAATTACACTTAGCCCCCTGAAACGTAGTCAGAAACTCTAATGGGATAATGAATTGGATACGTTATTCCGATAGGGTTCTAACGGACTATTGGTTTCAGAAAGTGGTGAAGACAACAAGGAGCTATGGGGTAACATGGCTCCCCGAACATTCCCGAACATTTCTTAAATCACCCATAGCTCTTTGTTGTCTCCACCACTTTCTGAAACCAATAGTCCGTTAGAACCCTATCGGAATAACGTATCCAATTCATTATCCCATTAGAGTTTCTGACTACGTTTCAGGGGGCTGAGTGTAATTATCGATACCACAGGGACCTTACAGTTATTTAAGCTTACCTCAGGGGGTGTGTGTAATTTACCCTATATATTATATATGTATATGTGTGTGTGTAAACAATAGCTATATTGTTGATGTCAGAATATACAAGCATGGAAACAAGAGAGGCATCACCGAATCATTGTCTGATAAAGATTGAATCTTTTTACAATAGTGGAAATGACAAGTACGAGACTAAGGAATTCTGGGCTGGAAGACACAGATGGTATATATTTTTGGGCAAATTGCACGTTACCCCCTAAAAATTTCTAATTTTCGCACTGTACCCCTCAAAATTTGAAAATATGAATGTCCCCGTTCAAAATGTTATTCTTGTTCTGCATTACCACGACAGCAAAATTTCGATAGATTAATCACCGGAATTGAGTGTTTTGGCATATTGCCCCTATAATGTTATTTTTGTTACACGTTGCCCCTTAAAAATACTGTTTTTTCTGCACGTTACCCCCTTTAAAATGTTATTTTTGTTGTACTATGGTGAGAAAAAAATGACTTTTAGATATCCCTTTTTAAAGGGGTTATCCTTTTTTGGTTTTTTACGTGGAAACGTGCGAAAAATGGGAATGGAAAATGTATAGGGGTTGAAGTACATTTTGTCATTTTAAAGAATTGTATATTTTCTTAATTTACACACAGAAAACACAGTTAATGTTCGTCACATATAGGTTGTTATATAGGTTATTGAATGATGCTTGAACTTGTGTAGGAGATTAATAATCTACCCTAATGGAGACAACACTGTCGGAGAAGATCGAAACTGTGTTTCTGTATATTTGGTTATGGCGGACACAAGTTCATACCCTGCTAATTGGGAGGTGAATGCCGTCTTCAGCATCTTTCTCTTTGATCAGATTTCAGCCAATTATCTTTGTTCACTAGGTATGTATTACTGTTCTTCTCATCGTTCATTTTGCGTTGTAAACAATGAATGAAATATAAAAAAAACTTACCGTGGTTAATTTTTTTTTTTATACTATTACTTAAAAAACACCCATTTAACAGGAATAACAAGACGTTTCCTAGGAATGAAGTCCGAATGGGGAATATCTCTAAAAAAATCATGTCTGAACCATTAAACGGGTACCTAGTCGATGACACGTGTGTATTTGGTGCTGAGGTTTTTATCGTAAAAAAAGAAGCATCCATTCCGTATATGTCGTTGAAGAACTTTGATGTTCCTTACAAACGTGATTGGAAGATTCAAAACTTCTCGAAATTGGGAAACTTTTGGAGTTCTGAAGAATTCAATGCTGGAGGCCACAAATGGTACTTATTTATTTTATTTCATTTTTTAATGGGAAAATTACAGTGTTAATTTCTCAAGTTTGCAATGATTTCACATTTTGTTCTCCATGTGCAGAAAAAACATATTTGGTCCCTTATATTTCAATAATTTAACACTTTTTGGTAATTTCCGTCAATCTACCGTTAATCCATTAGCTAAGGCAACGATGGCCACACACTTGATTCCGTAAGGTTTTAACAGAAATTTGACAGTATGGGCAAAAAGTGTTGAATATTTTGAAACATGAAGGACTCAATGTGTTGTTTGTGAACATGGAGGACCAAATGTGAAATCAATGCAAACTTGAAGGATCAAAACTGTATTTTTCCCATTTCTTTATTATTGTTTTTTAGTATTACAACTATCTTTCTTGTATGAACATGAGTACCTTTGTTGATAAATGAAGGAAGATTCGTCTTTACTCGAAAGGAGATGGAAAAGAAGCCGAAAGCCATGTCACCATCTATCTCTACTATCTCGGTTCCGAAAGTGTGCAAGCAAATTATACCATATGTATCAAAAACCAGGTTTCTGATCAACACATGAAAAGAACTTGTAAGTTATTGTTTCCAAGTTGTTGGCAGTGTTCATTGAAGATTATATCTGTCTCGTTAAATATATATACATTATGTTTTCTTGCAGCCATTGATCACTTGTTTTCAGCTTCGGACAATTCGTGGGGATGGGGTAAATTCATGGAGATTGCAACTATGAATAATCCTAAGAAGGGTTTCGTTGTCAATGACTCTTGTCTCGTACATATCGAAATCTCCTCGGTCCAAGTCGTTCCGAATGCGATGAGTTTGGGGAAGAAAGTATGTAATCTTTTGACAGGGTTGTTTTTATAATTTGGAGGAAAATTAGAGTGGACAATATAGAACTTAAATTCATTTTGTAGAGTATTTCTTGGATTGCCTTTTAATTCATGTCTCATTTTTTTCCAATACTATTCAAGATTTGAGAACATAGGCTTTCTTGAATTTAGCAAATGCTCGCAACAGGGCTAACACTTGGAACTTGACACTACAACAAAAAGTCGGTATGCGGACACAGGAAAGTGTCCCAATATGGTACCGATGGTTACCATCGCATAGTATTCGTCTTCGGTTCAGATTCATTTTCGTGGGTAGGCTGTTAAGTAATAATGGAAACACAAAAGTCTAGGGGTGCCAGTTGGAACAAAAATTCCAATTTCCGTCGGTTCCGATCAAAAAATGTCTGATTTTGGAACAACTTTTTTTATTCCAACTTCCGAAATTCTGATTTCCGAAATTTTTGGATTTTTTTGGATTTGAATTGGAATTTCCGAGTTCCGGTCCGATTTAATTTCCGAGATTAATTCCGAAAAAATCCGTTTTTTTTTTACGAAAAATACACTTATAGATAATATATAGTATATAATACTTATTATATCTTTTTTTGTTCCTTCTGAATAAAAACAGGAAATAAATTCATTATCCTAACTAGGGGTGAAAGTCGGATGGATCGGATCGGATCGGAATTAGCCTTTTCGGAAAATTTCCAAAAAAAATCGGAAGTGCAAAATCAATTCCAATTCCAATTCCAAAATTTTCGGAATCTAAAAATTCATTCCAATTCCAAAAGGCCCGGAAATTTCGGAATTTCGGAAACAAAATCGGAAATCACATAAGCTTTAAAATTTCAAAACTTAGCCCAAAATTTCTAAAGTGTTCATATTTTTTCGAAAATAAGAGCATCCACGTCGATAAAAGTAAAACTAATAACTACTAAATTTCAGTTCAAAAAAATAATTAAAAATAAACACAACATAATATCCAATAAAACTTCTAACAACAATTCATTATGTCAAAATCCTAAAACAAAACTTATAGGTGTATTTTTCGGAAAATAAGTATTATATAATATATATTATTTATAGGTGTATTTTTCGGAAAAAAATCGGAATTTTTCGGAATTAATTTCGGAATTAAATCAGATCGGAAATCGGAAATTCCAAATTTATTTTATATAATTCCAATTCCAATCCAAAAAAATCGGAAAATTTCAGAAATCGGAATTTCGGAAGTCGGAATGAAAAAAGTTGTTCCAAAATCGGAACTTTTCGGATCGGAACCGGCGGAAATTGGAAAATCCGTTCCAACTTGCACCCCTAATCCTAACACTCTAATTTATTATCCAAATACTCTAAAAATTAATCTTAAAAATAAGATGTAATAACGTATCAGCTCTTAAAACATCTTATCAGACGTTAGAGCTTATCAGCTGTTTAAAATAAGCTTACTCAAACACCTCTAAGTTTTGTTTCAGGATTTTGACATATTGAGTTGTTGTTAGAAGTTTTATTGGATATTATGATGTGGTTTATTTTTATTTATTTTTTCAATTGAAATTTAGTAGTTATTAGTTTATTTTTTTTCGATTCTTATTTTTGGAAAATTACGAAATTTTTAGAAAATTTCCGCTAAGTTTTGAAATTTTAAAACTTATATGATTTCAAATTTTTTTCCAAAATTCCGAAATTTCCGGGCATTATGGAATTGGAATGAATTTTCAGATTCCGAAAATTTTGGAATTGGAATTGGAATCGATTTTGTACTTCCGAATATTTTTGGATTTTTCCGAAGAGGCTAATTTTGATCCGATTCATCCGACTTTCACCCCTACATAAGTCTGAACTTTACATGGGATTCCATTATGCCAAATATTTTTTAGGATCGCACAATCAACACTATTTTGCATTTAGATTCACATTGGGAACAAAACAAGAAATAAAGTCGATTAGAGAATCTAAAAGCTCCTCTCGCTTGGGAAAAATCTGACAGCTTGGCTATTTCCATTTCAAACTTATTTCTCTTAAATCATTTGAGAATTTTTTGAATGAGCATTTAACTGAACACTATATATACTTGGGGGATAATTTGGTAAACCATCTCGTTAGAGAAATTTTTTGAACTAACCACCAAGAAGATTACATTCCTTGTTATATCCCGTAACTTTTTTAAAAAATTGGCTTACCCATCGGCTACTTGAAGTACCTAAATTACTCGTATAGAATTAGTTTTAAACCCAAGAAAACTCACAGTCGTCTCTCCTTTCTCTTCGACTCCTAGATTCGGATTTCCAGCCCATAGGTTTCCGACCGACGATGTTGCTTATCGATGTTATAATTCTCTCTTATGGTCGGAATTTGATGGTTTAACTACCGTTAGATTCTTCTCGTCAATGTCTTTCTTTTGGTGGATATTTCATAATGTTGGAGGATCGGGATCTGTTTCTGCAACCGTTTGACTGTGCTCGCGTATATCGACGACAACGGATCTTCTCGGAAGGGTAATTTGTTTTTCGACAATTGGAATTTGACGGGATACCAACCGTTGAATTCCTCTCGTCGAGATCTATCTTTTGATGGTAAGTTCATTCAATTTTGATTGTCAATTTTATTTCTGTGATTTTTGCATTGCACACACGGAATCTTTGGTTGTTGGCGGCAGCTAGGGTTTTGTTAGGATGCGCTTGGTCTGTGGAGTCCTTCGCAGCCTGGTTTTAAAATTTCGCAGTATTCGCAGCTCACTACAAGAAATTTTGGTTTCAGTGACGACTTTGTAAGGTCGCTAAAAGTTAGAAAATGGTAGCTAAAACTTCTAGCGACCAAATTAAGCTTGGTCACCGGTGGTCACAACAGGGTAGCTACTAAAAGTACTCAGTGACAAGAAAATTAATTGGACGCTAAAAGATGAGATTTAGCGGCGAACTAATAATGGTCACTAAAAATATACTTATTAACGACCAGTGTTTGACTCGCTAATGTAAATTTTATGGTGGCAATAGTATTAACATGGTTGCTATAGCAACATATATAGTGGCCATATAATTTTGGTCGCTAAATGATATATACGTATAGTGACGATATTTTATTGTTGCTATAGGATATATATTTGGCCACCACATTTTTTGGTTGCTACATAATATACATATAGTGACGGTATATATTGGTTGATAAATAATATATTTTTTGGTTGCTAAAATATATACATATAGTGACCATATTATTGGTTGCAATAGTTTTTACATGGTTTCGACAATTATTAAATTTATTGATCAATTCAAAACAATAATTAATTGGTTGCATTAATCATTAATGTTTATTTGCAGTAGTGGCTGTAAAAAAAAATTAAAATAAAACTAAAGATTGCAAATTTATATATTATCAATCAAATGTGAATATTATAATCTCAATCTATCATACTCAATACAATAATGAATCTTCTTCAAAAAAAAAAAATACAATAATGAATCAATCATTCCAAACAATAAGAAAGATTCCTATAATTATTTCATAATAAATTCCACTTCATAAATTGTTAAGCGACAACAAATATGACTTCCACGATAACATTCTTTCACTTCATCATTTCACTTCATCAAACAGTCCAACCTAAAAAAGGGAAAAAAAATTCAAATAGAAAATAAGAAATCATATGATAGAATCAATTTCAATCATTTGTCACTTAGTAGCACTCATAATTCAATAATGTATGTGGGCTCTTGCATAAGTAGCTACTTACCTCGTCCAGTCCATGTGTTTAATGTGATGCATTGCCTGAGAATTATTAGTTAAGACGGAAATTGTAATTCATTTGTTCTACTTCATATAATAATTGAAGAAGCTTAAAAAACAATTAATATGAAATGTTGCATGAAATGGATCAGAACTTTGATTTCAGAAAACTCACCTAGATCCTAATGCACAATATAGCTGAACTTGCTCCTCCCGACTCCCTTCATCAATTGACCACCAACCTAGTTACATGATATAAAGAATTTATCCACAATAAGTAGAAGTAGAGAAATAATTTTGACAAATTTTATGGTTCATTTTTATATAACGTACATTCGGTATACCTAGATCCACACCTGGATCCACGACAAATAGATCTCATATAATCGTGAGCAACACCCGGTAAGCTAATACTAATTTCTATGTCAGCTTCATCTGAAGTAAGAGTGTTGATTTGTTCCAATTTATGCATGTCAAAAAACCTGGTCCTTGCATTAATAAAAGAGAGAACAAAAATTAAGTATATTTAGCAAAAATTGTAACGATGAGATCAATACATTACCAAATACTAACTCAATATCGTCCAACCAATAAATTTACTTAACATACCCTCATATAATGTTATGTCTAATTTTGATCAAAATACTGTAAACTTGTTGCTCAATGTGCATAAGACAAATTTCAAATAAATAATGGCATAAATAGATGCTAAACATTAAACTTATCCATAAAATGTACAGATAAGCTTAGCATAATTAAATGTTCTTTAATAAATATGATATCACCCGAAATTGAGTCTTCCTTTGTTCTCTGATATCTCATCACCAAATATGCAATCAAAGTACATAATATTCAGTATACCTGGATCCACGACAAATAAATCTCGTATAAACGTTAGCAACACCCGATAATCTAATATTATTTTCTGTATAAGCTCCATCTGAAATAAGAGTATTAATTTGTTTAATTTATACATGTCAAACAAAAAGCCAACTTCTTGCAGTAACAAAAGAGAGAACAAAAATTAAACTGAATATATTTAGAAAAAATTGTAACGATGAGATCAACACATTTTCAAATACTGACTCAATATCGTCCAACCAAGAAATTTACTTAACATACCCTCATATGATGTTATGTATAATTCTCGCACAGATTGATGCTAACTATGGACATTAAACTAGAAGCCAGCGTTATTTGTTGTCACATTTTCTTCCAAAAATTGTAGCAGGCCGTACACTTATCCAAATTGGGAAAATAATATACCAAATAAAAGGACACAACTTTATCTACAATTTTGATGAAGATACCAACCCCAAATTACGAAGATAACACAGCAATAACAACCCGAAGAGATGAATACACAAAACTGCCAGAATTCTTTTGGACAAACTTGTTTGCTGTCACAGCTTCTTTGAAAAATCATAACAATTTGTAGAGTTATCCAAATTGACCAAATAATATACCAAATCAAACCTGACAACTCAATATACAAAACTTCAGAATACACATAACCTAAATTATTACTCCAACATAATAAAAACAGCTCCGTAAGATATTAGGCAAAACTGCCCTGTTTTTTGACAGATTCACTGTCGTCTGATTCCGACCCCTAAAAGGCTATAACACGTGCTCGAATTCGAAAAAATTAAACACTTACTCATAGTTTTCGAGGTCCTCTACGAGATTTGAGAAGGAATTATTCCCAAATTCACACTCCAAACCCTTCGATTTTGGCTCCGAAACAGGTGAGGTAGGAAATTTTATTTCCCTTAGGGTTCCGGCGAGCAGGGTGAATTTCACACCAAATTTCGGCGAACACCGCCGAATAAAACCGCCGAGCACCACCATCAATGGGAAGCTAACTTCTCGAGGTTTGTAACGGTACCTTCTATCATCAATAATCCACCGTTAAGACCTCCGTTCATTTAATTCTTTGAAGAGCCAAAATTTGAACTCCAGATTACGGCCAACATCGGCGACCTCCGCCGGAAATCACCAACACCGGTGTACATCTGAACTCACAATTATTCCAACGGTGGGTCCCAGGGTTCGTCGGAACGGCCGGAACGGGAACGGTGCCCTCCGTTCCGGAATCCCTACCCAATCCGATTTGTACATCGTGACGCGCCGGAACACCGAGATAACGGCAGGACGGGCGAGACGGAACCACCGAACGGCCGTGTTGCGGCTGGAACAGGTTGGAACGGCGGAACGGTAGAAAAAATATGAGAGAAAAATCTGATAAAAAAAAAAAAAAAAAAAAAAAAAAGAGAAAAAGAAAAACGGAAAAAAGAAGACAGAGAGGCCTAGTCGTGGTCTGATGGACTGAGTCAAAAGTTTTTTAAGTTTCCAAAATTTGCAATCTAGTCCTTATGGCTTTTTATTTCTCTTAAAGTAAACAGATAATTTCATAGCTTACAATTTCACCCCTATTTTTACTTCTCAAGGTATAAAGAATTGTTCTAAAATTAAGATTAGAGTTTTAATGACAATTTGTATAGTATTCTACTATAATATTAATATTAAAACTTATTTGACATTAATTATATTTTTTTGCATTTTTATTATAATTTGACGGTTCTGACCGTGACGCGACCGCGATGCAGATGCGACATTACAATGGAACTTGAACGTCGTTATCCGCGACAACGGACCACAACGTTCCGGCGAACCATGGTGGGTGCTGATCGATGAGATTTATTCTCGAAGGTCTCCAAACTATTATTTTTCAACCTAAATCTGAAATTATCTTTTCAAACCGCCAATTCTTTTCCTATATTCATATCTTCCGAATCCCCTTTATTGAATTCGAAAATTTTCTGATAGGGGTAGGAAGAAGGGCATGGAGAAATTGGGTGAAATAGGCGAATACTTTTGGGAAAAACAAAAGAGGTAAGACAAGATGGATTTTGGTGCAGTAGAATGAAGAAATTAAGAGATAACTCTTTCTTGATTATCAGTAATATCAGGCGAGAATTTGTAGAGAGAGAGAGCGTAAGCGAGAGATTGAACAAAGTAATAATTTGGGATGAAAGAAATGCGTGTAAAGAAAGAATGAGAATTGGCTGTGCTTTTCCATTATTTGCATATTTCCCCTCCATCTTTCCTTCTTTCTTTTCTTTTCTTTCCTTGATTTGTTTAAAAATTAAACTACTAACCAAATCGATTAGATTTTCATAAGTAGTTTCATACCAACCAAATTAAAGTGGCTACTAGCAACTCAATTATATGGTTGTTAATAATTAAATTAAAGACTTGTAGCAACTGTAAAAAGATTTGATGTTAAATTGGTCACTATTGACACTAAGTTATAGTGACCATAAAAATTGTCGCTACAAACTTGAACTTTAGTTGCTAAAAAAATTTGATGTTAAATTGGTCACTATTGACACTAAGTTACAGTGACCATAAAAATTGTCGCTACAAACTTTAACTTTAGTTGCTACAAGATGTATAACTATTAGTGACCACTTATAGCTACCAAATGTTCGTCGGTCGCAAAAGGATTTGACCCTTCCGACTTTTGCTACCAAATTACTTTTGGTTACTAAATGTGAATATTCAGTGACCATTTAATTATGGTCGCTGAGAATTTGGTCACTGAAACTAGTTTTTCTTGTAGTGGCTATGACCTCTTTCTATCTCTCCCATAATTTTTTGTTGATTTGGAGTGTTTGAAATTCTGTCAATTTTCGTTAAGTTGCACTAAATTTTAATAGGAATAATACAACACTGCATTCATAATGTTACTAGTCTTGTCTTCTAAAATAACATAACTAAATATTATCTTTGTTCGTTTTTGCAATTGCATCTTTAATTGAAGGCATTGATCTTCTCCTTGTAGGTATCAAATTTTTGTTTGAAGTTGTAGACGAATTTTGGCGAATATAGACTGCATATTATATTACTACACATTATAGTACATTACTATAAATAATATGTAGTAACATATAATAGGAATGTGATTGTGTATATATCGATCTGTATTGGTTGGTTACGAGTTGATTTATAATATAAATATTTTAAATTTGTGAGTTATGTTGTTGGTGTGGATGATCTTTTTCTATATAATCAACAATATTGGATATTTTGCCGTTGAGTTACCATGATTTACATTCCTCCATCAATCCTTGTCGGGCCAAGGGATGGGGGCCCTGGGGGCGAGGGATTTCGCCTTTTGGTGCAACAATATTGGTGTATGTAGCGTATGTATATAAAAGAAAAACATTACTATGAATGAATATAGTAAACTGTAGTTACTTTATAGTCATTTCAATGGAGTAAACATATTGAAAAAAAATACAAAAATATAATAATTAAAAATATTAAAAAAAGAAAAGAAAGTATGTATAAAATAAAGAATATTTCAAAAAAAAATCAGTAAAATGATAAATGCAGGTCCATATATATGATAAATGCAGATAGCAAAAATGTTGAATGCAGTTTGGTGAAAATTACTTGTGGAAGGTAGTATAGTACTTTTACTTCTCCCCGGATTATGTCAACTGATATTAACTAACTTTTTAATAAAATAAAATAAAACAATATATCCAAAAATAAGGTGTCATTACAAATAAATTTTAAACAAATACTATAAAATAGTGAAATTTGTATATTATATAAACAATTAAAATAGGGGAAAACGGCGGAGTGGTGTAAGGTGGATGAGAAATCAATGCGTTGTTGTTGTGCAAAGGGGAGAATGACTAACAGAGGGTAGGTTATGGTTTTGAATTTAATTTTGCTGCCTCCATTTGGATACGGTGGTGGTCGTAAAGAAAATTGGGTTTAGCTGGCTTTGTTTTGGTGTTTTGATGGTGGTTTTGTTTGGGTTGGTGGTGCAGGTTGTTATTTACTTTATGTGTATTAAAAAACCACTAGAATATGGAAGTGTGGTGGTGATCGTATAGTGTGGCGACGGTGTGGTGATGATGAGGAGAAGGTCTAGGGTTTTTATTGATATATTGGGTGAAAGACAGCGCACGCAGAGGAAGTCCGTGTAGGTCAATCGACTACGCTTTGGTAGTCGATTAAGTTAATCGACTACGCTTTGGTAGTCGATTAAGGTTAATCGACTTCGTTTTATAATTCATTTTTGAATTTATGTGTATTGATTCCGACTTGTATTATTTGTTTGTAAAAAAACGTTGATTTTTTTTTTATGTAGTGGTGTTTTGTTATCTTTATTAGTCCGTTCCTTAATCGACTATGTCGTAGTCGATTAATATAGCTGATAGCGAAAAAAAAATTAAAAAAAAAAACAATTTTTCAAAAATAAATAAAAAAATAATAATAAAAAATTAGAAAAAAAATAAAAACGAAATTGATTTCAAAACAAAGGAAAAACAAAAATTGAGATGGGAGCACCGAGAAGAAGATAGTGGAAGGGCAATTTGGGGATTAAAAAGGGGAAAAGAGTAAGGATTTTTATATAAGAGTTGCTTGTTGAGAGGGACTCTCTCCCATACAATACACCTCATGTATAATTTATAAAACAAGAAAACTCGAACAATATACAAATCTTGTTCAAAAACCAAAGTAGGGCACAAATATTGAAAGGACTAACACAATGTCTGCAGCGGCTGGTATGGCAATTCTCGCAAAAACTACACAACCTGTTTTTCTTTTTTCTTTTATTTCTTTCTCGTAATATACATATATATACTTTCGTATAAATTCTACTGTTGCTGTCAGATTTTACGAGGATGGAAACAAGAGAGGCATCACCTACTCATAGTCTGGTCAAGATTGAGTCTTTTTACAACAGTGGAATTGCGAAATTCGAGACGAAGGAATTTGTGGCTGGAGAATACAGATGGTATGTATTACTGTCTATATCTATTAGTGCAAATTGTATATTACCCCCTTCAAAATTTACAATTTTTGTAATTTACCCTCGCAGTTTTTTTTTTACACTGAATGTCTTCCTTCAAAATATTATTCTTGTTGCACATTGTTCAGATAGCAAAATTCCGATGGATTATTCATCCGAATTGAATATTTTTAATGCACATTGCCCCTTTAAAGGTTATTTTTAGTGTACGTTACCCCTTAAAAAATATTATTTTTCTGCACGTTGCCTCTTTAAAATATTATTTTTGTCTTTTTTTTCTTAAGTAAATTTTTTATGTTTGTTGGACGATGCACACTGAAAATTGACTTTTGGGCCAAAGTGCAACAAAAAATAACATTTCGAAGGTGAGTTATCCCCTTTTTTGGATTCGTAAGGGGTAAAGTGCGAAAACGGGAAATTTATAGGGTGAAGTGCATTTTATTGTATCGATTATTTGTTAAGCCTTTTGTTTCTTTTCTCTGCTTTAATTTACTGCCAAAAAACATTGTTGTACTTGTAAGTCATATATAGGTAATAAAATGCTTAAACTTGTACAGGAAACTTATAATCCATCCTAATGGAGACAAAACTGTCGAAAAAGATAAAGACTATGTTTCCGTATATTTGGCTATGGCGGATACAAGCTCATTGCCTGCTAGTTGGGAGGTTAATGTTGTGTTCAGCATCTTTCTCTTTGATCAGATTTCAGCCAATTATCTTTGTTCACTAGGTATACTTGTTATTCTCATCTTCTATTTAGGTGGTGTTTGCAAAAACTTAATTAGAAGCAGAAGTTATAGATTGTGGGTTAAGTTGGTTTTAAGTCTTTAAGTTTAGCATGTTTGTAGATTCGCTGGAAAATCAACTTAAATAGAAAAAACAGATCCAAATATTTTTTACAAATTATAATTTAATGTTGCTTATTTAAGAAAAGCAAAACTAAAATTTTATTTTACAAACTCCTAAAAACAGATTATGACAAAAAAAAAAAAAAAAACTCATAATCTATTTGTAAAAGTTTTTGCAAACATCACCGTAGTCTTGTAACTTAGTAAGGATATTGTATTTAAATTGCATTTTATAAATGATGAAAAAACACCCAATGGACAGGAATAACAAGACGTTTCCTACCGATGAAGAGCCAATGGGGCTTTTCAAAATTCATCTCTAAAAAAGTTATGTCCGAACCATCAAACGGTTACCTACTCGACGACACAAGTGTGTTTGGTGCTGAGGTTTTCATTGTGGAAAAAGAAGCAGCAGCAATTGAATGTCTATCTTTGAGGAATTTCGATATTCCTTACACACGTGATTGGATTATTCCAAACTTCTCTAAATTGGAAGATATTTGGGAATCTGAAGAATTCTATGCTGGAGGCGAAAAATGGTACTCTTTTTCTTTTTTTGTAGTATTACAACTCTATTTCGTGTATATTTGTTTTTCTTTTTCTTTATTTTTCCTTTGATCGTTTGACGTGACTACTTTCATTGATAAATCAAGGACGGTTCAACTTTACCCAAAAGGAAATGGAAAAGGAGCCGGCAGCCATGTCGGCATCTTTTTGCAGTATCACGGTTCCGGAAAAATGCAAGCAAGTTATACGATATGTATCAAAAACCAGCTTTCTGATCAACACGTGAAAAGAACTAGTAAGTTACATCAACATCAGTGATTGTGAATTCTTGTCGGTGATTCATCCACGAATCTCTCTCATGAAACTACATCATCTTTTTTTTTGTTTCTGCAGCAATCGATCGCTTGTTCCCAACCAATAATTGGGGATGGCCTTTATTCATGGAGCTTGCAACTATTAATGATCCTAAAAAGGGATTCGTTGTCTGTGATACTTGTCTCGTACATATCGAAATTTCGTCTCTGAAAGATGTCGTGCAGTGATCGATATCGTATCATTTATGATGGAATATTAGCTGCACATTATATTATTCATCTCTCTCTCTCTATATATGAATTTTCAGTTTACATTAATAACTTGGATGGATAATTTTCCAGAAAATATTTTCAGTTTAAACCTCTTTTGTTCGATCTTGAGATTTTGACATATGCATGAACTAACCAATTAATCTGATTAAGAACTAAAATATAATTGTCCTAGAAATCTCACAATCTTTTTTATTGAATTATTCTTGGTATATTTACAGTCTACAGTCTAACACAATAATATATATATATATATATATATATATATATATATATATATATATATATATATATATATATATATTGATTATTTTGTAGAACCCCCTCATTTCCAAATTATATAGAACTAACTAGCAAGTGGATTACACTCTAGGTGAAACCCCCCTCATGTCGAAAATATTTAGACATACCCCACTGGGCTACCCTGAAGTACCTATAATACCCTTCTAAAATCAGTTTTAACCCTAGCCACTCACGGTCTCTCTCTTCTTCTCCCATATTCAATATCCCGCCTCTACAAACCTCTCACCGGCGAAATTGCTTCCCGGAGCCATAACTCTCTCTCCGGTGGTCGGAATTCGATGGTTTAACTACCGTTGGATTCCTCTCGTCGAGCTCTTTCTTTTGGTTGTGATTTCATTCAGTTTCGAGCGCGGATCTGTTTCTGCAATTTTTTTTCATTCGAAGACGGTGGTCTTGCCGGAGCTTTATTTTGTGTTCCACCCGTCGAAATTTGACGGGTCATCCACCGTTGGATTCCTCTCGTCGGGATCTATATTTTGATGGTAATTTCGTTTATTTTTATCTTTTCAGATTTATTTCTACATTTTTTTGCATTTCCCATCAATAACCCCTCTCTCTCTATCTCTCGATCTCTTAATAATGTTTGGTGATTTTTGAGTGTTTTGATGTTTTTATTCAAATTTGTTGATTTGCACTAAAGTAATTTCTTTTTGTTTTGATTTTGCAATTGCAGCTTAATGAAGGCCATTGATCCTTTCCATGAAGGTGTCAAATTTTTGTTTTTTTAAGTTACATCAGATCTGTTCAACAGACTGTATACATTACTATACATTACTATAGTAACATGTAGTTACATGTAGTTATATATGCGTATATTTATGTATTTTCGTTTTGTATTTTATTGGTTCTGATGTGATTTATAATAAAAATATTTAAATTTGTAAATTTTTGTTGGGGTTTTATGAATTTATTTTGTACAAGTCAGTATTCGTGTGTGTATACAATTGATCGACTAAAAATATGGGGAAAAAACGAACATAACTATGAATTACTATAGGTAGTTACATGTAGTTATTTTCAGTACTGTAAACATATTATTTTGAAAATTAAAAAAAAAATTAAAAAATAAAAATAAAAAAAATAAAAATAAAAAAAATAAAAAAAAATAATTTTTTTTATTTAAAAAAAATTAAAAATATATATATATATATATATATATATATAAAACAAACAGATTTATAAAAAAAAATATAAAAAAAATAATAATAATAAATAAATCAGCGAAAATGATAAATGCAGGACCATAAATGCTGAATGCAGTTTGGCCGAAAATTGCACATAAGGGTAGTATAGTACTTTCGCGTCCCCAGGGGGTATGTCAAAGGATGATTTGGGCTTGGGTTTATCCCTAGTTTATTTGGTGGCTAGGGGGTATGTAAAATAACCCCATATATATATATATATATATATATATATATATATATATATATATATATATTACTATTATTCAGAAAAAATTCAAACTATTATTTCTGGCAAATAGTGAAATTTTCATGTATCACTGTTTTTAAATAAGTGTTTATTTAAGATAGCCCCTCACCAACCTACTTAATGAGGGGTTGGCCCAAGACTTCTTATATTTTTGACACAAACCCAAATAGTTTCATTATACCTATTTTACCCCTTTCAAACTCTAATTAGGGTTTGTTTTATCTTACTTATTTTTATTATTATTATTTTTATTTAGTTATTATTAAAATAAATATTTATTTATCTGTTTTTTTTTTTTCTTTTATATTCGTGGGTCGCGTGGATGGTCGGAGCTACGGTTAGCTCATCATTAGTTTACTTCAATTAGTAGACGATTCATTTTTTTTGTTTTAATTATTTTTCCTGGCGGCGGGTCGTCAAAGCTCTAGTTAACTAACTTGGCATTAGTTAACTTCAAGGTCAATTCATTTTTTTTTCTTTTATCTTTTTGTTTTTGTTTAATATTTTTTTTTCCGGCGGCCCCGTGTCGGTGCTCTGGTTAGTTGACTCATCATTTCTCAACTTCAACATTAGTTGACATTTCAAATTTTTATTTATTTATTTATATTTTCTGACGGCGGATAATCAGAGCTCCGATTAGTTAACATGCATTAGCTGACTCAACATTAGTTAACATCATTATTAGTTGACATTCCATTTTGTTTTGTTTTATTTTTATTTTTTGTTTTAATTTTTTTTTCCGGCGGTGGGTCATCGTAGCTTCGGTTAGGTGACAGAGCATTAATTAACTTTAACATTAGTTGTAATTCCATTTTTTCTTTCTTTTATCCTTTTTTTATTTAAACATTTTTCTCCGGCGATAGATAATCAAGCTTCGATTAGTTAACTTGAATTAGCCGACATCTAATTTTTTTCGTTTTTTTTCCAGCAACGGCATGTCGGAGCTCTGATTAGCTAACTATACATTAGTTGAGTTCGCATTACCTGACTTTAATTTTCTTTAACTGACATCTGATATTTTTTTTTTCTGTCAACTCATTTTTTCAGTGGCGGGGTATGTATGGCTCTGATTAGCTGACACCCAATTGTTTTAGTCTTAAAGTCAGCTAATCGTAGCTCCGATGATCCTCCATCGTATGAAAAAAGAAAGAAAAAAAAAGGTCGAATATCAAGTAATGTTGAAGTTAACTAATGCTAAGTCAGCTAATCGAAGACCCGACGGCCCGTCGCCGGAGGATAAAAAAAAGATGTCAACTAATGTTAAAGTTAACTGAGCAAACTAATATTGAAGTTAAATAATGTTGATTTAGCTAACCAGAGCTCCGATGACCTACCACCGAAAAAAAAAGGCAAAAAAATGGAATGTCAACTAATGTTGAGTCAGCTAACCGGAGCACTGACAACCCACCACTGGAAAAAAAAAAAGAAAAAAAAATCGATCGTCAACTAATTGAAGTTAACTAATGTTGAGTCAGCTAAACGGGGCTCCAACCACTCATGCCACCGCTAGAGGAAAAAAAAAACCAAAAACAAAAAACAAAAAACCTGACCGGTCAGACAGGATCGGCCTGGTGGGTAGGTGGGATGGGATGGGGGAAATCAATTTCAATTGGGTATATTTTTGTTTTTCGTATTGCTATCAACATGAAGAGGAGCTACGTCAACAGGTTTGTTTTGTTGTTGGTTACTATCGTTTTCCTTTGGTGGTCGATCCACAACATAATTGAGGTTTTTTATTTGTTAATTTTGTTATGCAGTTTAGATTTCGAGATTGAAATTTTGTTTTTTATTTTGTTTAGCAAAAGCTATTGTTTAGACTTCGAGATTGAAATTCGAATTTAGACTTTTGGTTCAGTTTGGCAGGCATTAAATTAAATTTTGTGATTTTTTTAGGGTTGATGATGCAAGATTGAAGGAGTAGATGACCATAGAGAATATGATTGAGCCCGACTCACATGTTTCTCTTGATTCGCTCATCAGGAGAAGATTTCATTTAGTTTTCTTTTTTTGTGCAAACCAAAAAGAGTACAAAATGGCTCGCTCGTTCTCCGCCGCTAAATCCATTCCTTCTTTCATCGCCAAAGCAAGTCTGTATCTAGAGGCTCAAGGGCATCGACTAAAGTTGATTATCTTGAGAGGAAAATTGTGCTTGTTGTTGGCTATTTTTTTTACACTTTGTTGTTATATATTTATTTTTTGTTCTTGGTGGTACTATTTACACTTTGCTTTTTATTCTTGCAGTTTACATATATAATGTGTTTTTTGGTCGAGTTATATTTTTACACTTTTGCTGCTTTTATTTATTATTTTAAGTTTTTCTTTTCATACTTGATGTAACTATTAATCTATGTTCTGTAAATATCAAACTTTAAACATCCATTCATAATACAAACATCAAACAACAAAACATCATTTTATAATGCCCATATCGAACAACAAACATCAAGTTTTTTTCCATTTTTTTAGATGTTGGTGGTTTTTTGTTTTGCGTTTTGTTGTTTCTAGGAGACTATTATGTTAGATATATATATATATATATATATATATATATATATATATATATATATATATATATATATATATATATATATATATATATATGTATTGAGTTGTTGCCATAATATTAATAGTTTGATCTTGTGATTGTTATGTTTGCACTGTGCATATACAAGGTGTTTGTTGCTCGAATATATTTGTGCATGTTAATGTTATATATGATGTAATTTTTTTGATAACTACACTTTTGATGCTATATATTTGTTTTTGCTGTTAGTATTGTATTATTTGAACTTTGCCTTTTTCTTTTGCAGTTTGCATATAAATTACAATAGCAAACTGCAATTTGTAACAACAAAAATAAATATAATACGGAATGACCTACCATATGTCACAAATATTATTTTACAAATGTCTTTTCACAACAACACAATATGGAACTAATGATAATTTGTTCAAACATCAATACTTCAAGTTTTTTTTCCTCGAACAATATAAAATATTTTTAAAAGATAAAATATGAAATAAAAGATGACATAAAAAACCAACAAACCATTTTTTTTCTAGGAATAATCACTCAGTAAATACAAAATATTGTAAGATACAAATCAGTAGATACAAGCAGTGTTGCAATATAGTGTTGCAATAACTGATTCTGGCTGGGGTGATGTCATAATGGAAATAGTCTCGACGTCCTACTGAATTCACAACTTCCAAACGTCCTCGATGATCATCTAGAAACTTTTGATCGTGTCAATATGAGTTTTGGAAAAGAACCAAAAAATTTGTGAAACCTGTTAGAGTAGGTGACCAACAAGCCAACTTGTGGTTGTGGTCTTTCTCTTTTTCCTTGTAATAAAACAATCGTTTTTCGTTC